AATCAAATTTCAAATCAGTTGAAACCATAGAGATTTGATTGCAAGATATTTTGTTAAACTTTTTCATTGTTCACATTTTCATTTCCCTATTCTTGGTAGCCTCGGAAGGAAGATAACTATCTCCAGCTAAACTAATATATGCCGTGTACATGTAGCATGTAGACAACTATAAAGCCACATGCTAATAGCAAAGATTATCTCAGTGAATTGTTTAGTGATGTGTTTATTGCCAATGGGATGTATATCAAACAAGGACTAAATTTTTTTTACAAGTTATTTACTTGAATTCATGAATTTTTCATATACATGTACAATACATATTATGGATTCTTCTGCACAATTGTAATTTCTCAAAACACACATGTATTTCAGACTACCGCTACTTTTGTCTTCAGTTAATTAAAATTAAATTCATTTATTTTCTCTCAGTGTAAATCCTACTCACTAATGACAGGTTACCTATTACAAATTCTACTTGCTATTGGGGTTTTGTTTATCATCCCCCATCATTTATCTTAACATTGCTTAAATCAATAATATTACTTTGGTCACAAGGATATTGAGATAAATGGATAGTATTGTAGTATGAAAATAGGGACATTTCTTTTTTTAAATTGGCAAGAAAATATTGAAGTTTGTTGATATTTTTGGGCAACAACTTTATTAATCCCATTGCCATTCCTGTTACACACCACATATATGTCATCTGCCTCATGGGGAAGGTCACCTTGAAGGAAAGTATATCTCCAACTTGTCTGAAGTATAATGTTTAAATCAGTGCAGAGATTTTAATGAAACTTGAACCATTTAATATATATCATGACTAGGTATTACATAGTCATACCCTTTGCCTCAAGGTCAGGATCGCAGCAAAGGAAATTCTTTATTTTAACTTGTGAACCTCTGCCCATGTATAGTATAATTTTTAAACTAATGGAGATGTTTTAATGAACCTTTTTAGCCTTTTATAGATCTTGACTGTCTCATATATCCATTTACCTCAAACTAATGGTCAATACAAAAACTTAGTAAATCCTGTTTCCTTATCCAGGCTGTCACTTTATAGACCTACATAATGATTGATTAAACTTTGCATGGTCCAAGTCTCTGGTTCAGAGGTAAAGGTCATTAGCAGACAAAAGTTATATAATTTCAAAACCTAAACTGTGGTCAGCACTTACAAAGAAAAAAGATATACTTAATTTTTTTGCAAGTAATTTGGGATATAAAATTCTATGACATTAAATTTCTTTTTCAGACCCACACAAAATGGTGCATCTGCCACTTTGGGGTCAGCAGACTGGTTGGATGGATTTAGTGAGGAGAATACCCAGGGGCTGTTTCTGGCTCTCTGTCAGAAAGACAACAGTATTCTGCTACTGAAATGGAAAGGAGCTCAGGAATAAGCTAAAATTATATGTAGTCCTACTTTTGTTAATTGTTAACTTGCACAAATATTTTTTCCTGTAGTCAATGGCCAGAAACAAGCACAATGGTACTATCCTAAAATACTTTAAAATCATGCAGAATTCTTAACTTTGGTTCAGTCAATGTTAGTGGGAAAGTGGACATAGCAGCTACTTTTCTGCCAACTCTTAAGATTTTGTAAGGTATTATTTAATGTATTTGATGTAAATATATTTACTAAACTTGTTTGATTCTCTTCACACTTGGACTGAAGCATTATGAATCTTAAGACAGTTCATTCTATGAAACACTTATTTACAAATTTGTCCTTGGTGTCAAAAGTCAGAATTAAACAAAATTTGCAATGTTTTTGTTATTTTATTTATTTTCATACCTTTCCTAATCCCTTTCATGGATTCTTTTCATACTTGGTATGAATCATTATTAAGCCAGGACAATTCATTCTTTGGCACACCCACTCACCCCTAATGACCTTAGAGTCAAAGTCATCCAATAGGTTTTGTTGTGGTTTTTATTTCTTTGCTTATATTTCCTAAACCACTTGATAAATTTTATACATAATTTGGAGTGAGTGAGAATAAAGCCAAGAAATTTCTTAATTCCCTTGATCAACATTAAAATGAATGATTGTGAAGCTAAGATAGTTTACTCTGTGATGTGTTTGCTCAAACATATTACACGGGCAGTCAAGGTTAAAGATTATATAGCCATGCTTCAGTTATGGGTTTGACTGCAGTCTCTGACGTTCACATCATCTTACATGTGTATGGTGTACTACCTTACTGGTATCATTGTTAACAGTGTTAAAGTTTTGCAATCAAGATTTTTAAAGTTGCATATATTCTGCATCAATTACTACATTCAAGTGGTACTTTGCATGTGTCACTATAGTTCTAAAGATTACATTGTGATTTGCTGAGATTTCCTGTCACCACTTTCAGCTGCGGGTTGTATCATGGTGAACAGTGCATTGAAAGTTTTACATTATGTTAAACTTTATTTATCTTCTAAATTTGCTGCTGCATTCAGCCGAAACTTTGTCACAGTATTATAGTAGTCAAAAGTTGATACATTCTTATGCAAGGAGTTCCTGACTTGCCTGCATGAAAGCAAGTTTCATTGTTGCAAATAATATAATGATATTACTATAGGTCTGATGCATATTTTGGATGGATTTCCTGTCTTGCATGTCTTTCCAACTGCAGCCACAAAAACTTGGTGCACTGTGGTAAAAAGTGTTCTAATTTTGTGTCAGAATTGATGAAAAATTATATACAGTGGTTATACTGACAAACAAAGATGCAGATGAAACACCATGTTGTATACAACACACTTGTATCAATTTAGCTCCTAGACAATATTTCCTAATTTGTCAGATATTTTCTTTCAGAATTATTGTCCATGGGTGTATTCCAAATTACACAGAAAATTTCCTGTTTGGTATAACAAAATGCATTATGCCTTTACCATCGTTATTTCCAGGAATTGTTAATAAAGGTTCTTTATAAACAAGACCATTGTTTATAAGGTTAACCATACCCTCTATCCATCTGTCTGTCATTCCATTTTTCAAAAATTGCATAAAATTACAGCATGTGTGGAAATTAATTTGCAAGCATATTAACCAGGTGCAAGAATGTTTAGCTCACCTAGTCAAGTGGGTTGATATGGCTCTCCATCCATTGTGAGTCAAGTGTCAAGCAACAATTGCTATTTTAAACTTCTCAAAAATCCCATTTTGACTAAATGGGCTTCAGAGTAGGAATGGATATAAAATTTATACAAAAATGGACACCATTCCTATAAATGACTTCTTTTCATAAAGCAGAGAATTTGACTAAATTTGACATTAAGCATCCTGGTGTTGGGGGTTTCAAGTTTTCAGCAGATTATGATCCATCATCAAAGATGTCCACTTTACTAAAAAGAGAACGAACCTTCATTTTCTTCTAAAAAACCAGTGATCTAAATATAAGCAATGTTAAATACCATTCAGATTTGTACAAAAGATTGAGGTCCACCATCAGATATAGCCACGATTACTAAAACGTAAACTTTTAACGACTCCTTTTCCAGAACTATTTAAGAGAATATTTTCAAACACTGTAGAAGGCATCCTGGCATGTAGACTTTCAGCTAAAAATGTTGCTGATCCACCATCAAATATGACCACCAAAACTGAAAGACAAATAACTTTACAGTGACTTCTCCAAAACCACTTGCATATAATTTGACAAAACTTAACTTCGAATATGACCTGACATTTAACTAGAGAAACCTTTAAATGACTACTTCTAAAAATCTGAATCACAGAATTTCATAACATTTCACAAAAAGGGTCTTCCATAATGTTTTTTAATCAAAAGCTATTTGGATTGGTAATAAAAAATTTCTAATGCTAAGATATATCCTGAAATTAATATGGAGCATAAGAAATTTATCCCTTATTGGATCATAGTTATTCCCCCTTTTTTAAGGGAAGATTCAAAAGTATCTCTTTTTTACTCTAGGTTTGGCCATCCCAAATGAACTTGGAAAATAATGTATTGAGTTTATTTCTATATGGAGTGCAGGACTTGTTCGAGTAGCAGAAACATTAATCAAATTTTGCAAAAACAAGGATTTTATCAATGTAATGTGAATTGAAATAAGAAAAAAATTATTTTAAAGTGAAAATAGTTTCTTTATTAATCAGCAAAATGTAATAGGGTAAAAGCAAAGAAATAATTTATTTATAAAGATCTGATAAGAAGCAGGATTCAGCAGTCAAATATTAAACTTGGTCCAGGTAGATTGGGTGTAAATGAATGGACCAACTCTTTTGTTTTAGCTAAACTTTATACAGAAGACAAAAAAAATTGATTAACTTTAATATAAGATTTCTTTATAATGATAAATACACCATCCATAATTTGGAATAAAACAAACTAAGCACTTATTCTACGACTGTTCATATACTGAACATTTTTGTAAATTATTTATAGAATGAATCCAAACATACAATCCAGATTTTAAAATTTCACAAAAAGATGTCTTTATAGAAAATAACAACTTTGGATTCCTAATTTTTGCTTGCAAAATGTTATATGCAGATCATGTTGTACATCAAAATCCCAAGTCTCACCCATTAAAAAAATTGTTTTTTCATACAAAAAGCTGGAAAAATATGTTGCCAAAGTGATAACAGAAGTAATGAGTTCAAGAAACAGTGGACCCCTTACAAAATTTGGTTCGTTTTCACATCAAACAAGCACCTTGGGGTTTGTAAATGAGTAATTCTTTATGTACAATATGTATTAGTACATATGTCTTTGTATGGTCATATGTGTTATGTGATGTAATTATGATTTTTAAAGTAGCTTTAAAAAAATTTCAGTTATATCACTACAATGTCTGCAGTTTGGCAGTTTATAGTGATGTCTAGCACAGGGGCATCGTGCCATAGACATGGAGCATGATGTCCCGCCGAGTCACATTATCCTGACACCAGGCAAACCAATATTGACACTAACCTCTTATTGCTGTACATTAAGTGAGGCAGCTGTTAGTACCTTTTTTGTAAGTCTTTGGTAAGACTCGACCAGGGATCGAACTTATGACCTCACGCATCTGAGGCGGACACTTTAACCACTAGGCCACCAGAGCAGTTTTGTGCATATGCTTGTTGTGTAAAGATCATAATGGAAAAAAAGATAATCCAATCAGGTGGTGATGTAGGGAACATGTAAAATGTTGACAACTTAACATTCAATGAAAAAGTATTGTATAAAAGCTTAATAGAAAGCTTCCTAGCAAGGAGAAGTTTCAAGTTTACACAAATTATGCTCATCTGCTATCAAACAAAAATCATTCTGGCATTTAGACCTATCAATTTTTTGTGTAAATGATGCCAAACCACCATCAAACATAGACATTATTTGTAAAAATAAAAATTATCAGTGAATTCTCTAGCAGTTTTAAATAGAAATTGACCAAATTTGATAAAGCATTCAGGAATTAAAGGGATTTCAGAATTTAAGAATTGCTTTATCTGACTGTGCTCTAACTATTATTGCACTGTCAGACTGCTCTATGTATTATTTCATAATCTGACTTCTCTGTGTGTTATTGCATTATCTGACCATTCTCAATGCGTTATTGCTTTATTTGACAGCTTGATGCATTATTGCATTATCTGACCATTCTCAATGCATTATTGCATTATCTGACCATTTTTGATGCATTATTGCATTATCTGACCATTCCCGATGCATTATTGCATTATCTGACCATTCTCAATGCATTATTGCATTATCTGACCATTCCCGATGCATTATTGCATTATGTGACCATTCTCAATGCATTATTGCATTATCTGACCATTTTCAATGTATTATTGCAACATCTGACAGTGCTCTATATATTATTACATTATCTGACCCTGTTTCATGTATTATTCCTTCATATTATTACATTGTCAGTCTTGCTCTATGTATTATTTTATTATTTCACCATCCTTGATGTATTTTACACATAAAGGATTTGTTATATTTGAGACAGAGAAGACACCTGTTTATTGTGGGTCAAATATCAAAGTCACAGGGACTGAAAGTTTTGTACCACAACTACTAAACTTTCCTGACAACTACAGTGTTTTCACAAGAATGTAGACTGTAATAATTAGCTCTTCATTTTTAACAACATATGAATAGCTCACTTTAATGTTAAAAGTCATTCATTTCTTTTTGGTGTCCTCATTGATCATGTTATTGAAATAAAACCCAAGTTTTGCTCCTTATCACAAGATTTAAACTTGCCATATACAGTACTAGTCATTCATAGGGGTTAGCATATCCTGTATGTAGAACTAATTTGCATTTTCTTGTGATTTTCTTGACATAATTACAGCACGTCACAAATATAAACTTGCAGCAATCTAATTAAATTTTACAGATCTATCTAGTACAGTTTTTCAAAAACTTGTGCTTCCAAAATAGCATGGTAAAATCATAGATAAAATGATTTCATAAAAATACCACAATCTCACTAAACTGCTCAATATTTTCAGTATGCAGTAAGCCTGTTCATCATAATACAGAGCTACATTAGCTCACTGGTTGGCATGCTGGATTTGTGATGAGAACGAGACAAGTTGATATCTTACCAGTTAGTTTGATAACCTTGGTGTGTCACAGGGCAAGTAACTTTCATGTTGTTGCTGAGCTATAAAGTACCCAACCAAAACTTCACAAACCCACGATCTATCTTTTTCTGTTCAATCAGGAACTGTTTGATTACAAATTTAATTTATCATTCAATAAAAGTTACACATTAGAATAGTTGAAGTGAATGCAGAATGTAAAAATTGTTTTAGTATATTTAGCTTTTTTATTCTGGTTCTTATTCATATGGGTTTTACCCTTTGTGACTAGAATTGAGACCAGCTACAGAACCTGATTGTGAAACAGTATCTTTAAATATGTGCTGGAATTTCGTATTTAAATTAAACTCTTTATGCCCAATTTACTCTTTTTTGCTACTTATAATAACAATAATTATGCTTTTTACCTCTGGAGGGGATTGGCACATATACCAATGTAATCAACCTCTACCATCAGATTAAACATTGTTCCATGGCACAGGAAGCCATTTCCATCAGTAATTGTCTTGTAATGTTTATGATTTAGTTACAATTATTTATGTGATTGAATTTATTTATTTTTATGGTTATAATTTTTCTTTGATTTGCGGAAAATGGGTATTCTTTTGGCAGTTAGAATTTGTGCATGTGTCACATGAAAAGAAACAAGTTTTTTTATTGTAGTTTATAGCATCCATGAAATCCACAAGAATTAATATCCCATGAATAAAATAAATTTATGGTGTTTTTAATTTATGATATTACTTATTTAAAAATATCTCATTCAGTTGGATTGAAAGTCAAAAATACTGTACAAGGGTAATAACTCTTGATTAGTTAGGTCAACTAATTTCATTTTGGAGAATTTGACCATTACACATTGTTGATGCTGTGATTCAGGTTTTCACACCAGATCATTTCACCAGAGATTTCACTTATGACAAAAGTAGATGCCTCATGACAAAAGTATTTCTTTACTGTGCATTTAAAGTTTCTTGTTTGTGTGCAGACTGAGACAGCTGGACAAAATTAAAGCTGTATTTCATTGTTAGCATTTAGATGCATGCATTGTACATAAGTGTTTGTCTTGTATGTAAGCATTTGAGTTGAAGTGTTGTGGTGTGCTTTCTAAAGACTGATAGCTAGGACATGTATTTGAATGCTCACATTTGATTAAAAAAAACAGGATTGAAACATACTTTTTAGATTTTGTAAATGTATTATTTATTTTTACCACAACAAATTTTAAGAAATGGCTTTAGATGGGAAGACATAAGAGAATTGTTTTGTAACAATGGAAATAAAATTAATTATTTTAAATTTTTTTGTTTTCGGGTAAATCTTTATAGGAAAAATTATTTCTTCCAATCTGCACACATATCAATCAATCAGTCTGTTTAAATATTTTTTCATACACATGCATCAATTTATCTATTTAAACTCAGTCAATTTATCTAATTAAACTAGTTTACGAGTCAAACTGCAAACTGCACAGACCCAGATCTGCCATGACATGACATGCAAGTTAATATCAATATATTCAAAATGTTAAAAGTAATCAGTAGGAATACCTTTAAACTTTATACAAATGATGCCAATCCACTTCAAATATGACCATAACTACTAAAAGACATATCCAAAACAACTAAAATCTGTCTGACAGCACCCTTTCAAGTTTGTACAAATGATGCTGATCTGCATTATTACTTAAAACAGAAAGAATTTTGGCATTACAACCTTTCCAGTTCATTTGAATGCCTTTAAATAACATCTTCCCAAGAAATGCTCAATAGAATTTGACATAAAGCATTCTGACAAGTTTTCATAACTGATGCAGATCCATTGTTAAAAGTGTTCATCATTTCCAAAACAGATACTGTTCTTGCCAGTATCCCTAATAAAAGCAAAGAAAAATGTTCTTGCCTGTTTACCTAATAAAGGAAAGAAAAACAATGTTCTTGTCAGTCTGCCTAATAAAGCAAGCAAAAATAGTGTTTTTACTTGACTGCCTAAAAGAGAAAAGTATGTTCTTGCCAGTCTTCCAAATAAAGCAAAGAATCATGTTCTTGCCAGAATGCCTAATATTGCAAAGAATATGTTCCTGCTAGTCTTCAAAATAAAGCAAAGAATCATGATCTTGCCAGAATGCCTAATAAAGCAAAGAATATGTTCTTGCCAGAACACCTATTAATGCAAAGAATATGCCAAATAAAGCAAAGAATATTAATGTTCTTGCAAGAATGCCTACTAAAGCAAAGGCTATGTTCTTGCCAGAATACCTATTAAAGCAAAGAATGCCAAATAAAGCAAAGAATATTAATGATCTTGCCAGAATGCCTAATAAAACAAAGAATATTAATGTTCTTGCCAGAATGCCTAAAAAAAAGAATATTAATGTTCTTGCCAGAATGCCTAATAAAACAAAGAATATTAATGTTCTAGCCAGAATGCCTAATAAAACAAAGAATATTAATGTTCTTGCCAGAATGCCTAATAAAACAAAGAATATTAATGTTCTAGCCAGAATGCCTAATAAAACAAAGAATATTAATGTTCTTGCCAGAATGCCTAATAAAACAAAGAATATTAATGTTCTTGCCAGAATGCCTAATAAAACAAAGAATATTAATGTTCTTGCCAGAATGCCTAATAAAACAAAGAATATTAATGTTCTTGCCAGAATGCCTAATAAAACAAAGAATATTAATGTTCTAGCCAGAATGCCTAATAAAACAAAGAATATTAATGTTCTTGCCAGAATGCCTAATAAAACAAAGAATATTAATGTTCTTGCCAGAATGCCTAATAAAACAAAGAATATTAATGTTCTTGCCAGAATGCCTAATAAAACAAAGAATATTAATGTTCTTGCCAGAATGCCTAATAAAACAAAGAATATTAATGTTCTAGCCAGAATGCCTAATAAAACAAAGAATATTAATGTTCTTGCCAGAATGCCTAATAAAACAAAGAATATTAATGTTCTTGCCAGAATGCCTAATAAAACAAAGAATATTAATGTTCTTGCCAGAATGCCTAATAAAACAAAGAATATTAATGTTCTTGCCAGAATGCCTAATAAAACAAAGAATATTAATGTTCTAGCCAGAATGCCTAATAAAACAAAGAATATTAATGTTCTTGCCAGAATGCCTAATAAAACAAAGAATATTAATGTTCTTGCCAGAATGCCTAATAAAACAAAGAATATTAATGTTCTTGCCAGAATGCCTAATAAAACAAAGAATATTAATGTTCTTGCCAGAATGCCTAATAAAACAAAGAATATTAATGTTCTAGCCAGAATGCCTAATAAAACAAAGAATATTAATGTTCTTGCCAGAATGCCTAATAAAACAAAGAATATTAATGTTCTTGCCAGAATGCCTAATAAAACAAAGAATATTAATGTTCTAGCCAAAATGTTTGATGATGCCAAGAAAAATAACTTAAGATGAGGACTATATGAAATCAATGGTTTGAGTTATGCTGAATTCTTTCATTGTGGAAAAATTTTAAAAGTTTCA